CCTATAGCATTGAGGGAGAAGTCTACGCCGGGCAAGTACCGCCTCCTGCACAATCTCAGTTACCCTTACTCCCCCGACAGTGTGAACGCCAACATCCCTCGGGAATCGACATCCGTCACCTACCACTCTATCCACGATGCGGTGGGAATGGTTGTCAGCCGTTCCCCGGGGGCTCACCTGGCAAAGTGTGACATCGCAGAAGGATTCAGGATCGTCCCAGTACACCCGAGCGACTACCATCTCCTGGGGTTTTCTTATGGGGGCAAGTACTACTACGAGAAGATGCTCAGCATGGGAGCCGCCCCCTCCTGCCGGATCTTCGAGACTTTTTCCAGTGCCCTGCAATGGATCCTTGCCGAGAAGTTTGGGGTGCGCGACGTTGTGAAGGTATTGAACGACTTCCTCTTCGTCAGTTTCACTTTCGACGAGTGCCAGCGAAGCCTGAGGGTGTTCTCCGCCCTCTGCGAGCGATTGAGAGTCCCCTTGGCACCTCACAAGACCGAGGGCCCGTGCTTCTGCCTCACGTTCCTAGGGCTGGAGATTGATGCTCGTAGGATGGAAACAAGACTCCCTGAGGACAAGAGAACGAAGTACATGGCGGCAGTGGAAGTTGCGTTGAGTCTGGAGCGCATTCCCCTCCGGGACCTGCAGGCGATCATTGGACAGTTGCAATTCACCACCACGGTAATCCCGGGCGGCCGGGCCTTCCTGTGTCGTCTGCACCCGGTCACGCGAGGTGCTCAGCGCCCCTCGCGCCTATGCCACTTGGACGCTGAGGCTAAGCTCGACCTCGTCGCCTAGCGCTCCTTCCTCACCGACTTCAATGGAGTAACAGTCTTTCCCCCAGATGGTGGATGGGGAAGCGCTCCATCACTCTCAATATGTGCTGATGCTTCTTCCAAGGGGTACGGCCTAACGCTAGGGGCAGCCTGGTTCAGGGGAACATGGCCGCAGGTCTGGTGTCGGCTCAACATTGCATTGCTCGAGCTCTACCCTTTCTACATGGGTATAACACTCTTCGCCCCGGTACTGGCCAATAACAGGCTGGTGTGCAAATCGGACAACAGTGCAGTGGTAAACGTGCTCACCTCACTCTCTGCTAGGTGCCCCCTACTAATGCAAATTGTCAGGCCCTTGGCAGTGCTCTTGCTCATTCATAACATTACACTCATACCTCCCAGGCAAATTAAACGGGGTTTGTGATGCTCTTTCCCGCTTACAGACGCTGCCGCCCTTGTTCCTGCGAGACGCAGGCCTCGCCGAGACGCCAACCATAATTCCCGCGCACCTCCTGCCCTGCAACTGTAAGGACCCTATTCAACTCCCTGCAGCCAGCGACAAGGCGTGCTTACCGGGCTAAGTGGGTGGAGTACGCCACCTACGTCTCAGCAGGGCGGCGAGGAGAATGCCCCTTTGATGCTACACCTTTGACCCTGGTGAACTTCCTGCAATCTCTGCTCTCGCGTGGCCTGGCTTTCTGTTCTCTTCATGCCGGGAGCCGGTCGGCCGAGCGGACAGCACGCTGGACTTGTGATCCTGTGGTCCTGGGTTCGATCCAAGGCACCGGCGAGAAACATTAGGCAGAGTTTCTTTCACCCTATGCCCCTGTTACCTAGCAGTAAAATAGGTACCTGGGTGTTAGTCAGCTGTCACGGGCTGCTTCCTGTGGGTGGAGGCCTGGTCGAGGAACGGGCCACGGGGACACTAAAAAAAAAGCCCCGAAATCATCTCAAGATAAGATGCCTATCTAGCGGCCATCGCCTTCGTCTGCATGCTACATGGTAGGAGGGATTCAACACGGCAGTTCCTGGTCACTCAACTCCTCAAAGGGGCACGTAACTCCGCACGACGGGCCCCTGCATGGCGTCTCCCTGTGACGAGGAGCCTCCTGCATCGCCTGCTGCAGGCACTGGGAGGCGTATGTAACTCTGCCTATGAGAAGTCTTGCTACAGGGCGCTCTTTTCCCTGGCTTTCCACGCCTGCCTACGCCCGGGCGAGGCGGTCTACGCGGAGCGCGGACGACACACGCTCAGCACAGAACAGGTATCACTTACGACGGTAGGAATAGATATCGTCTTCAACACTTACAAGCACAGCGCAGGTCGCATGCCCACCCTCACCCTTCCAGCAAGTACTGCCCGGTCCATGCTCTGTCTAAATACTTTAACTACAGGGGCGTGGGCCCAGGGCCCATATTCAAACATGCCGCAGGCGCTCCTGTCACCAGGCAAGATTTCTCCACAGACCTTCGCGCTGCCCTCACGGCGCTAGGCTTGCCCCCAGCTGACTACGCCCCGCATTCCTTTCGTATCGGCAGGGCCACCCAGCTGTCTCTGGACGGGCTCGCCGCATCAGAGATAATCACAGTCGGCAGGTGGAAGAGTAGTGCTTTTACTTCCTACGTCAGGCGGGACGTTGTTGCTCTGCCACTTTGAGGGCCTCTCACGGCCAGCTGGCACTCACCCTTCGGGGGGGGGGGGGGGGGGGCGGCTGAACTGCGGTGGGGTGCAGCGCCGGTCCCCAAGTGTCCCGCTGTCCGCAGCTAATACTTTGCCCACTCTAGGTGCTAGTAAGCCCTACCTTTAGTCAGGAACTCCTCCTTATTCATTATGTCTTTACGGCCTCTTGGTCGGCTCCATTAAGTGTTATGTGGTCTACTCACTTGTTAGTTACTCTTTATGTCCTGACTGTTATACATAGTGTTTTATAATTACTACACATTTGCCCACGGCCTTAATTCTAGTACCAGATAAGCTATTAGGTTTCTGCAGAATTCGTTTACCATGTCACTAGGCTAAGCTTACTCTTACTTACTACGGGTGTACCTTTTAAGTTAAATACTAGTACTCGGACTTGGAATTGTAACTTTTGTTAATTTTTACTTTATATATCTACATGTTCTGCAGAATTTATTTTACCAATAAAATAAGCCCCATACTGTCAGTGTCTTTTTCCCCCTGATCAGAAAATAATGCATATATTATTGTCACATTAATACTGTGCAATATCTTATAATTATTTATCAGGAATGTAATAAGTTAAAACAGGACAAAAGAATCCAACATATATATAAAAACCAACATTAGAGATCACAAGGCCAAATAAGCCTAGCTGTGACCAACCGTCACATCCTGCCTCCCTGGCCAGCTATACCCTCTCACACCAAACACTGGTAGTCTGAGAGCTCTCATATACTCTTACTCACACTCCTACTCCCAATCACTCTTTATACTCACTCTCATACTCGCTCTTACTCACTTTCACTCACTCACTGTCAGTCACACTTACTCTCACCCACTCTCACTCACTCACTCTCAGTCACTCTTACTCTCAGTCACTCTTTCTCACTCATTCTTGCTCTCTCTGTCTCTGAAATATATGTTTTTAGTTATATCTAATGGTTTTAAGGACGTCAGAAATACGTATTTATGTCAAAAGTTACGGTATTACCTTTGTGGCACCATTTAAAAACGTCTACAAACGTTCTATGTTTGCTGGTTAGAGCATTCTCGGAGGTAAGATATGGGGTGACCAAGACAAACGAGTGTCAAAGATTATTTATTTATTTATTTATAAACAAAAAGGTACATTGGGTTTGTGAGAATACATAGCATGGTGTTAACATTCTTGTAAAGCCACTAGTACACGCAGCGTTTCAGGCAGGTCCTTAATCTAACATATAATTTTAAGTAGGTAAATTCTACCAAATTTGTAAAGTGGTAACAGGTACATTACAAGAAAAAAAATGAGATGAGAGAGATTAGTAGGTATATTAAAGCACATCGGTAGCTCTGACTGATTGCATTGACAGCTTGATTGGTAATTTAACAAAGATTAATTGGCACAATACAGCATATTGATGGCATATATAAGAGAACAATGATCACAATGGTAAAGTTGTTTGGATTAGGTACATAAAGATTGGGGGATTGGTTAGCACTAGATACAGTGCAATTATATAGCACCAGGTAGGACACTATGAAGATGAAATTATAGGTACTTTTTGTTTTTGAATGAGGCAAAAGTTGGACAGCTTTTCAATTCATTACAGAGTGAGTTCCATAGACTAGGTCCCTTTATTTGCATAGTAATCTTATCATAAACAACAACCTCAACATAAATCACATAGTTCTGGGGGGTGACTTTAATATTAACGTAGGGCAACAAAATAGCCCTGAAGTCAACTTATTTATTTATTTATTTATTTATATACAAGAAGGTACATTGGGGTAGAGAGAATACATAGCATAGTATTTACAATCTTGTAAAGCCACTGGTACGCGCAGCGTTTCGGGCAAGTCCTTAATCTAACAGATAATTTTAAGTAGGTAAATTCTAGCAGAATTAATAAAATGATAAATACATTGCAAGAAAAAAATGAGATGAGAGAGAATAGTAAGTATATTAAAGTACAATGGTATATTAAAGCTCTGGTTGATTACATTGACAACTTGATTGGTAATTTAAACAAGATTAACAGACACCGTACAGCAGATTGATAGCACATATAAGACAGCAATGATCACAATGGTAAAGGTGTTCGGATTGGGTACATAGAGATAGGGAGATTGAGTAGTAATAGATACAGTGCAATTTTAAAGCAACAAGGTAAAAAAAAACTATGCAGATGAGATGAGGTACTTTTTAGTTTTGTTTTTGAATGACGCAAAAGTTGGACAGCTTTTCAATTCATTAGGGAGTGAATTTGCATTATAGAATTACACATTTTCTTAATTGTTGAGGAAGAGACATTCTGTATTCTTGTTTATGCTCTATGGTCATCCTTACATGGGTTTTCATATGTTGAGCCTTACCACTGACTTTCCTGAGACTCATTGCGTGATCTATAATAATTACTTTAATGTTCAAAATGCAAAAAATCACCACAAAGGTGGAATTTCTTATAGGCGCGATCGTTACTAAGCGGGCAGCTGTAGTAAACTGAGGCAGGTCGGCCGCGTGACTGGGAACCACGCGCTCGGTCGACCGGAACGTGTACCAACAAATATCGGAAGTCGATGACACCATCAGATTTCGAGTCGCATTTTTCAATGAAATTAACATCATAACTCGAAATTATCGTAAGTAGGGGCAATCGTATGTCGAGGTGCCACTGTATATATAAAATCACATGTCCCCAGCATGTGTAAGTGATTTGATGAAATATCTGTGCCCAAAATGGTCAACAAGAGCTGTCAGGAATCGGGTTAAAGGTCAGACGACTTCTAATTCTTTTGAACAGTCAGTGTGGCCTAGTGGTTAAAGTACTGGACACCCCAAGGTGCATGGAGCCCTGGTTGCCTGGGTTCGAATCCTTCAGAGGTGAGGAGACTTCTGTTATATATATAATATACATATACTGCACTGTATAATATACATATATAATATACTGTATATACATACATACGAAGAGCATTCTTCGACTGGTTTCCACACATTTCTCCATATTTTTGTTCCACTGAAGTGTAGATGCCAAAAACAGCTAAGTATATCACTTACAAATACAAATATTTATTCAGGTAAAGTACATACATACAAGGTGAGATACAAAAAGTTGATGGATTTATATAGTGAACTTAACTAAGCCATGGTGTGAACTTTTCTTGTGGTCATTATTACTTGCTTAAAGTCCACCTAGATGTGAAACTCATGTTGATTCCTTGACTGGGTGTGTCATGAGCTAAATGATAAAGTTTCATTAGCCTTTTCTTCAGTAAATGTGCATCTTATTATTATGTACTTTAAAATTTATAATGCATTTGTGGCAAATTTGTAAAGAACATTGCAAGTCTGGCAGTAACTTACACTTCCTCTAATTTTCCACTTTGTGAAGTTTGATGTTTATTAAAAGACAATAGGCTATTGCAAAATCGCTGAAGCATGCCATGAAATATTGGGAGACAATGGCATCCATGTTGCTTCTAGGTTACATTGGAAAGCTAGATTAACTTTAGGTTGACCTGACTGAAGCTGAACATTAGCACCTTAGTAAACTTGATATAAATTGTACTAAAAAGATTGCACCCTATGACCTAATTTTTGTTGTGAATGTTCCCAGCATCAGCCATGCTGCTATAAAGACATACTTGCTAGTGATGCCATCCTTGTTCTCTAGCTCTGAAAATCTAGTGTTGAAATGCATTAATGGTACCTACTAATGTTCAAACTAGACCTAATACAGATGGAATGTACACAATTTCAGGCTTATGAGTGCAATCACTCCTCATTGGGCTGGCCTCCATAAGTAATCACTTTCATTGTAATCGGAAGCCATTTGTCAGAAGTGGTTTTGTACATTGGAAATGTTCTTGGACTAAGGTACATTATAATGGTTTGCCACCTCACCTCCAGTTACTTGAACTTTGCAGCACTGTTGATAGTTGCCAGTGATTTCTTCACTGCCAAATTACACACAATGCCATAATGTCCCACTTTTCCACATTCACGGCATTTCCTACCATAAGCAGGACAGGCAGTTACACCACCATGGTGTGGATAACAACCTCCACAATTGTGACATTTCCTGCTGTTGTACCCTAGTGTAGGTTGTTGTTTTCGTTTTGACGGAGTTCCTTGGCTCCTTTCAATTTTGGCTATAGCCCCACGACCCTGATTTACATCATTAGATGTATTGTCACCACAAATCTCTATGATACGAGCAATGTCCAGTACCTTGGCTAAAGTACTTTCCTCATCAGCGAGTTCCAAGGCACGTTGGCGTAGAACCAACGATGTGCATGTCTCAATTATTTGTTGTTTAATTTCTTCATCTTTGTTGCTGAACCCACAGTATGTTGACAGAGTCTGTAGACGTGCATGGTATTGGTTTATGGTCTCATTTGGATGCTGCTTGGCTTGCCTGAACTGCATTATTTCCATAACAGTATTTTGTCTAGGTCTGAAATACTCAGTCAATTTAGCTTTGGCAGTATCATAATCTTTTTCATCACCAGTGCCCTCTAGCGAGTCAAATATGTTACATACCTGCTCCCCCACATAGTGAAATAAAAAGGCACATTTTTGTTCAGATTCCTCTATGTCTAAAACCTTCAGCATATTTTCAAATCTTTTCAGCCATTTGACCCACCTATGAAAAGCATTGGTATGACCAGCATTTGGGTCAAATGCAGGAAAATATGGTAAACCTGCCATGAATAATGAATACAGTATGCAGGTTTGGTGATAAGTTTTGGCCTCCTAAGAATTAGGACTGTGAACACTGGGCTGTACAAGTTCACAGTTCACTCTAGTTGACTCTGGAGAATACACAAATTCTCACATCTCAATTTCACAACACAAAATAAGGGTTCAATTTCACAACACAAAATAAGGGTTAACAGAGAAGAGAAGGGATGCAGATTCGATTCCATCATATGGCCTCAATATTTTCTCACAGTACTATTAGTCTATTTTGCAGCAAAATACAGAAGTGATCAGTGAAAAAAAAATGATTAAAAATACTGCAGGAAAATACTGTTTACAACTTCAATACTGTACTGTACAGCAATATTTAACACTTCTCCACTGGGACATTTAGCATTTCAAAACAGCATTATTCTATTACTTCAGCATACTCTTGGTAACAGCCAAAATTTATACCATCCAAGAGTTTTATCAATGCTCGAACTGTAAATGAAAAAAAAAAATTACAACCAAAACACAATGGAACACATTGCTATTAAATACCATATGGGTGCACCTGTGCTGCACACTAAAGACATTCTAATGTCCTTGGATTTGGGTTAATATACAAAGGTGAGAAGAACAGAGTTGCAAAAGGACCAAATTTCTGGAACTCGATCCATTATAAATATAAGAGTTCATAAGGGACCGATTTCCAGGAATTCCGTCTTTTTGGAACTTAGACCTGCCCACCTTTTAATAAGGTCAACTGAGTGGGATACTGCACTGACAATACAGTACTAGGGGGGACCATTAGAAAAATACTAGCTATGCTACCCTTTAATTCTTAAGGATATTACCAATATTTTATAATGAAATGACTATTATTACTCAGCATTTTTAGCTACTTCCCATTTCTCAGAGACAGGCTGTAACAAAACCCATGGGAACCATTCAAGAAACAAATATCTATTTGATAATACAAGAATGCGACTAAACCAAAGCAGAAATGCCTTGTAAATTAAGGGTCCTAAACTCTGGAATGACCTCCCAGATTAGATTAAAAATTGTATTTCAGCCAGTTGGCCCATACGAAGCAGCTCCTATTGGCCCATACGAGGCAGCTCCTATTGGCCCATACGAGGCAGCTGCTATTGGCCCATACGCGGCACCTGCTATTGGCCCATACGAGGCAGCTGCTATTGGCCCATACGAGGCAGCTGCTATTGGCCCATACGAGGCAGCTGCTATTGGCCCATAAAAGGCAGCTGCTATTGGCCCATATGGGGCAGCTGCTATTGGCCCATACGAGGCAGCTGCTATTGGCCCATACGAGGCAGCTGCTATTGGCCCATACGAGGCAGCTGCTGTTGTCCCATACAAGGCAGTTGCTGTTGTCCCATACGAGGCAGCTGCAATTGGCCCATACAGGGCAGCTGCTATTGGCCCATACGGGGCAGCTGCTATTGGCCCATATGGGGCAGCTGCTATTGGCCCATACGGGGCAGCTGCTATTGGCCCATATGGGGCAGCTGCTATTGGCCCATATGGGGCAGCTGCTATTGGCCCATACGAGGCAGCTGCTATTGGCCCATACGAGGCAGCTGCTGTTGGCCCATACAAGGCAGCTGCTGTTGTCCCATACGAGGCAGCTGCTGTTGTCCCATACGAGGCAGCTGCTATTGGCCCATACGAGGCAGCTGCTATTGGCCCATACGAGGCAGCTGCTATTGGCCCATACGAGGCAGCTGCTATTGGCCCATACGGGGCAGCTGCTATTGGCCCATACGGGGCAGCTGCTATTGGCCCATACAGGGCAGCTGCTATTGGCCCATACGGGGCAGCTGCTATTGGCCCATACGGGGCAGCTGCTATTGGCCCATACGGGGCAGCTGCTATTGGCCCATACTGGGCAGCTGCTATTGGCCCATACGGGGCAGCTGCTATTGGCCCATACGGGGCAGCTGCTATTGGCCCATACGGGGCAGCTGCTATTGGCCCATACGGGGCAGCTGCTATTGGCCCATATGGGGCAGCTGCTATTGGCCCATATGGGGCAGCTGCTATTGGCCCATACGAGGCAGGGTTAAAAGACAAACTAAGAATTGCCTAATTAACATTATGTAATCCATTATACTGACTTTCCTCATCCTACATGTCAACCTGTTTTTTGCTGTTATTGTGAACATTAATTACTATATTTGTAATATTGTTAAAGCTGCAGTTTTCAAATCACCTACAAACTATAAAACATTTGTTAAATCTCTTTGAATAATTCATTTAGTTTTAAATCGTACATTACTCCATTAAACTAATAAATAAATCAAGTGTGCTTATTCATCTCAAGGTGCGCTTGTTTCCGCCAATAGGCGATGTTAATATAGCCGCAAGGCTTTGTGTTTTACCCTTCAGGGTACAACGCAAAGTACCCAAGGGATCCGTCGGATGTGCGATGGACCCTTGAGGTACGCCGGGCACATCCATCATCACTGCCGTCGTAGCCCCTAAATCAAACAAGTGACAATTTTTGCCTGTTTTTTTGTTGAGCACTCTGTGAAAATAACATAAGCCTCACCTATCACAAAACTCGTGCAGGGACGCCATCTTTTAATATGAGGTTCATCCTGTTGTCATGTTTCTTCTTCTTCGCGATACATGCAATTTGCATGAAGGTTTTCCACCGATGACTGCACGAGTGGTGATGTTGATAGATGCGGCACTCACAGTAGCACATCAATGTTCATGATTTGGCAGAGGTTGGAAGTTATCGATGTCTTCTATTTGCGTGAGGATAAAGACAAAAACAAACATATGAGTGGAAATGGACTCAAGATGGCAAAGATGAGGAGTTGTGTTGATGGTAATAGCAAAGAGTTGCTGTTCTATGAAAAGTGTGTGATTTAGTCAAGAGACTAAGTTTGTGAGTTGAAGTATGTTTGGGAGTTAGTTGCAGTTCAGATAGGTTATGGTAGATTGAGGTAGGGTAAGTTAGAGTACATTAAGTAATATGGGGTTAATATATATAAGATTAGGTTAGGTTGGGGTAGGTTAGCTGAGGATGGGTTATGTTGTCTTATTTCGGATCTTTACATCTGGGATGTGATTGCATTGGTCTTCTTTGACGTGCCAGTAATACAGCATGCTGAATATCTGGGAGTGGTTGGAGGATGTGTTGTGGGAGAGTATGGTTTACGTGGCTTTTCAGTCAAAATGCCAGGTCATTGGAAGGTTTGAAAAACTGGGGATTTCTTACTCTTAGTGCCAGTGGTTGTGATTTCTTACTCTTAGTGCCAGTGGTTGTGATTTCTTACTCTTAGTGCCAGTGGTTGTGATTTCTTACTCTTAGTGCCACAAGAGGAACTTAGTGCCACAAAGCTACTCTTATGGCAAGTCAGCTTGGGGAGTGACTTGGGTATGGCATGCTAAGACGTTATTTAGGAGTTTGTCCAGCATCAGTTCAAACGATTTGTATATATTCCTGACACACAGACCTGTGTGCAATGGGAACCAGAGCATTTTCCACATTTGATGTCTTTGGTGCACCCTTTTGAGGTATGGTTAAAACCTTTACATCTAAAGCACTGAGTGGGACGTGTTTACATACCCCTCGTTTACGGAGGAAGTCGTTAATCCAAACCCGATAAGAGGGAAAATAGTCTAGAAAAGTAAGTAGGGCAGTCCCTGTATCACTCGGTTCTCCTTTTGTTCTGCACATACATTTTTTGACTCAGAAGACTGGAAGGTCATCTGCCTGAAGTTGTGCTTTGATGTCATCTGCACTAATGTCTGCAAATTGTCGGATTACATATTTCGTTGATCGGTCACCTAGTGGGGGGTCCATAGAATTACCCAAATCAACCCAAATCCACCTAAATTTACCCAAATCCTGCTAGCATTACATAAGTAATGAAGAAATATGGCATATTTACTCACTATAATGTTGGTGCTGAATGCAGAACATGATAAAAAGCTATTTTTGCTCTATTTTTACTAATTTCACAATGAAATTAGAAGTAAATATGTAGCAGGTGATGCCATAGGAAGTCGAGGGTCCAAGCGACAATGTTGTGGAGCGACTTATCCAAGAAATATGGTCGCCTGGAGAGTGTTTGCTGCCATATTAGCCTCCTGTACACAGTGATCCAGTCGTCGCACTTCTTTGCTCAAATTGTTGCAAATGTAATTGGTGATATTAACAAGTAGAATGCGTATTTATAATAATATCTTTCATAAATAGCCACAAAATATTTATTATTTATTTAAAAAATGTGTCTGGAAGTTAAATCAACTCCACAGGACAATCATTTTGTTACATAGATACTAACGTTATTCGTTGGTATGAGTTCGCTACTTAAACTACTCATGTCCTTTTTGTTCCAAAGAACACCGAAGCCTACACGCTCTCTGATATACTCTGTAACCACTCGATTATCCGGGATTCAAACATTTGGAAAACGCCCTTATACGGCCAAAATCGTGACTGAATAAAGTTCTCAATATCCGGCCAAAATGGCCATGGGAGCCGGATAAAAAATCGGAGCTGGTTAACTTGCTGCCGATGTTACACTATCCAGACAGTCAGCCGGATAATCATCGAAGTGTCTGGATATGAAAGCCATGGGCCGTACCTTGTTAATCCCGTCTGCCTGTGGCTCGAGGCGCATGGTGGAGGAGGGGGTGGGGTGGGTGGGTGGTGTCAGGAGAGAGGAAGCGTTGGGAGGGACTACCTTGGGGATAAGGGGGATGTGGAGCGGCCTATACATTACAGTACAGGAATTACCATTAATTTTAGAACAATTCATCATTGCTAAAAACAAAAGAAATACTAGTAATTATGTAATAAAAATACCATACAAGTTTCCTAAAAAAATTTGCACGGGCTGAAGTTTCCTTCAAAAATATTGTTATTTTTTTCTTGCTGGCAGCCTACGTAACGTGCCTCCTTGCCACGACTGGACTCATCCATGCCTGGTCAAGCTATATGCTCTCGACCCTCATGTTATACCATAGTGCCGTGCCATTAGTGAAATATTTTTTTAAATAACTTTTTTATTTTCATAGTAACTTTTGAACATTTTTGGGCAAGACTACGTCTGGTTGCAGCATCAATTGTTCTGGAGGTGTTAAGAGGAAGAAGGTTGTCCTAACAATTAAGGACAAGTTATGTTATACAACTTTGTGAAAATGGCCGGTCGACTTTCAAGTGTTGCCAAGGAATTTAATATAGGCACTAGTACTGTTTCTGATATAAGGAAACAAAAAGAGAAAATTCTGAAATACATTTCAACCTCTGAAAGTGAAGGTGCAAGCACTAGCAGAGGGTGTGGTAAAAAGACTATGAAAACTTCGACGCATGTACAGTTGGACGAGGCTGTGTACAAGTGGTTTGCTCAGCACCGCACAGCTAGCGTGACAATTCGCAGCCCAGAAATACAAAATGCTGCAACCAGGTTTGCAGCAAGCCTTCGAATAAAAGATTTTGAAGCCAGTGAAGGGTGGGCTGCATGGTTCAAAGGTCAGCACAATATTGTGAAGAGGAAAGTTGTCAGTGAAAAATTGAGTGCAGATGAAAGCAGTGTAGAACCATTTAAACAGAAATTAAGAGCATACATTTTGTCAAATATTTAATTTTCTTATCAAATTTATAATACTGATGAAACTGGGCTGTAGTGGAGAAGTTCAACAGAAAAAACTCTAGCTATGAGGAGTGAGGGTTGTATGCCAGGCCGAATGGCAACAAGGACAGGCTGTCGGCCATGATGTGTGCGAATGCCGATGGCACAGACAGAATCACGTGTGCAATTGTTGGGAAATCAAAGAAACCAAGAGCCTTGCAACATTGCATGGACAGACTCAGTCAAATATTATAACTCACAAATTGCATGGTTTACACAGGAGATCTTTCTTTCCTGGTTTCATGACGTGTTCTGCAGGGAAGTTCGTGCCTATCAAGTTAAGAAACTCAAAGTAAAGGCCAAGCGAAGTTTGGGCTTTGCTACTGCTTGATAATGCGCCTGCCCACCCCAAAATTGACACGTTAACCTCACATGATGGCAAGGTAACATGTATGGCACTTCCTCCTAACACAACCTCTCTCATCCAGCCTATGGATCAGGGAGTTATCTGAACCACGAAGAGGTTGTACACCAAAAAGTTGCTGAATGAAGTTTTGGTGGTTTTGCCTCTTCTGGAAGATACTGAACTCGGTGTGGATAACAGGGCTAAAAAAAACCTTGAGAATTTGAAGAACTATACAATCAAGGAAGCCATCTATAACTGGGTCAAGGTGTGAAGTGAAGTAAAGAAATCGACTTTGAAAAATTCCTGGAAAAAAATCCTAACGTCTACAGTCAGAAATGAATTTTGAAGGATTTACAGATGAAATCCATGGAATGTTCAGAAATGCCGGCAAAAACTTAGAAAGACAGGATGGGGTTGATTGGCTTGAAAAAGATGCCAATGACCCAGGACATGGTGTGCTGAGTGAAGACGAGATTCTCCAGTCTGTAATGTATGGTTAAGTTACGTTGTTGGGTAGATTAGATACACAGTGTTTAGCGAGTTTCATATTTATTTAGTAGTCCTGGATACAGCAGTGTCGTAGACATTGAGACGGAGCTTGGAGCAGAGCAGAGAGCTGAGTATGGCCAGAGTCGCAGAGCTCTGTGGGAGAGGGTTGTAGCTCGATGCAGTCCTAGTCTGCTGCCTGTTCTGTGTCGAAGCTGTAGCATCTTGGAGACAACAAGAACTGCCTACGCCGCGTGCCACATTCTTGACTGGAAATTGTACTGTTGTCTATTCTCATACCACTTTCTTATACACGTTAGGATAACTTGTATACCTAGGAATCTTCCTTAACTACACCACACCATTCTCTACTAGGATAGGAAGGTGTGAGAACTGTTACCTATAATTAGGGATAGGATTATAGCTTGTGTAGTTAGTGCTAATTAGTTACACCATTAATCCTTTAACTGCGCGATGCGCCTGCAGGCCCACGTCTGGGATGCACTACGCGCCTCCGGGTATTTGTATTTTTCACGTTCCATTCAAAACTCCCGCGGCTACATGGGGTTCACATCAGCTTCCTTAGGGCTCTTGTAAACAGATGCCATCGTTAAAAAAAATTGTGGTCCACATTCCCGGGTGTGGGAGCCTCAGTAGTGAGCAACCAAGGCTGGCGCTCACAGCATGAGCGCACAGCACTGCTGTTCAGCGTGTGACCACACCATCGCCTAATAATGTAAAAATATATATATAATCTGTATTATATAGCCATGATAGTATTATAGAAGAGCCTGAGTGTGATAATGACTGGGGTACAATGTTCAAATATCAGTGATTCAATGCTGTTCACGATGTTCACAGCGCTAGCCACAGCACCACAGCATTATTTCGTCCATCTAGGAATCTTCAAACGACTTTTTAGGTTCCTTTTCAAAATAAACTTGTGATCAATTATTCATTTACAGGAATTAGTGACCAGGATTGTGGTCATAATTAGCGTTGTGCGTAGTATTGTGGAAGGAGGAATTTTGGTGCGGGAGGGAGGGAGAGAATTGAGGTAGCCTATTTGTGACAGCCACTCTTGTTTTGCTCACCATACTAGCTTTGTGGTTCGCTACGGGGAACACACATGTACAGGCATACCTCAGAATAAGAGTTTAATCCGTTCCTGGAGACGCCTCGCCTTCCGAAAACTCGCATTCCGAAGTTAATTTCCCCATAAGAAATAAAGGGAAATGAATTAATCCGTTCCTGACTACCCCAAAAACCC